TATGCTTCGTTGATCTGATTGGTTTATGTGGCCCGTCTATCACCAACATATAATTAAAGCAAATAAACAAATAACCGTGGATGGTAGAACTGGGATATTTAGTTAAAAGCCTGTCTGCTGCTAATATTGTGGGCTTTTTTCAGTGGGCTACTCCTGGATGCCTCTGCTCAAAGATGGGAGGATGCAGTCATCTGAGATCCAGTTACCTGTAGCCGCTACTCTACCTGCTGGATATATGGGTCAAGACAGCAGAAAGGTAGATACTTGTTCTCTCACACAGAGTCTGATCAACTGATTCTAAAGTTGAATCTATGTGCAAAGTTTCTAAGACGTCAGTATTTTTTAGTACTAAAGAGTCTCAAAAAGAAAAAAAAAACAACCAAGGTCAATGAATTTCTCTTTTCTTGTTTTGTTTCCTGCTCACAGTCCCAGCCAGATATCAAGTGGGTGGAAAATGCCAAGCCATTGTTTAAAGTAAAGACCAACGTAGCATCAACGATATATCCTCAGGTCAGCCATGATTCCTCTTTTCGTTAACTCAAAAGTGAAGCAGAAGCAAGATGGTGAGGAAACAATTCTAATGCCCCAGCTTTGTATTCTCCACCGCAGGACCTCCATCTGCATAAATTCTTCCAGCACTGCCAACTGATGAAGACCACATCAAATGGTAACCCAGCAGAACTCATCAAGTACCTGAAGGTGAACAGCAGCAACACACCGTTATTTACACCCAGATCCTGAATGCTTAGTGTGTCTTAGATAGATTTTAAGAAAATCAATCTATGCTTAAAATATATTTAAGCATAGATTTTAAGAAAATCAATATCAATATATAGATTGCAATTTTTTTTTCTAAAAGGGGGGTGGATTATGGAAGTAAATCTGTGTCGCTAACTCAACGGTGAGTTTATTATTTTCATTTTTCTGTAGTTGCGTTAGCATTAGCTTGCATGACCGGTTCCTTGGTGCTGGTTTTCCTTCAGTATGAGCGCCACAAGCGTTACGTCAAGTGACTAAGAAACCGTAACAGGATTGGCTGGGTGTTGGACGCCACAATCCATTGCTAATGTCTGTGACCTGAAGTAACCCTTCCCTTTTAACACTGAATTTAGACGCCAAATTTAAGACAGTGAAATAGAGCCAGTTGAATCTCAGGAGGCTGAAAATATTGAGTTTGAATTTTGAAAGGTTGAATTTTTTTCATCTGCAGATTTTTTTAACACTCAAAAATTAAACTTAAAAATAAGTATTGAAAATGTAATTACTTTGATATATTAATGTGAATTTTTGGCGTGAGGAGAAAATAACAAATGAAATTTCAACTGTGTAGAAATAATGACAATACATTTTTTTTTTAGGTCTATAATGTGTTCTGAATATATTTTAACACTGAAACAGTAAGTACAAACATACAACATTTAAATTTCAGTGGCATTTTAAATTCAAATCCCAGCGATACATATTTACTTCCATAGTGGATGGGAGGCGGGTAATGGTGCTGCAAGGGTCCCAAAACAAAATATACCAAGGGAAAATACCAAGGGCTTTCAGACCAGGTTTTACCACAAAAATTGTAATCCTTAAGATTGAAAAAAAGGAAGAGCAAGCAAAATGATAACTTGTTGCTTTCATTTGGCAGTAACTGTGTTACTAACCTAGTTAGTATTTGGGAGAAGTAACCTATAACTACAACCAGCTGTTTTTTTTTTCACTTTATTGTCAGCTGAGTTTTGTGATCTTTAAATGAGTATCAATTTGCACGTTTCTTTTTTCTCTATGATTCAAAAACAGCAAACAGTAGTTTAAAAAAAAAGGCATTATTCTCAGTAAAGCTGCCATCATTCACCTGAATTAGCTGTGAGTAAGTTTGTTTTTTAAAACTGATTAATTGAGGAAGTTACATTGAGTGGGTTTGAAAAGCATTATTCTCTTTACCAAACTGAATTATAATTTCACATTTTGTTAGATTAACAAATTTTTTTTTTGTCTATTTGCATGATATTGTATATATTTCAGCAATATCTGCTTATAGGTCAGTTTCTGTGATTCTTGTGATGTCATTCATCCAGATACACAGCAGTGCTGCAGTGCTTCATCTTCAGCTCAGTTTTATTAATAAAAAAAGCATTTTTCAATTAACAGTTAGTCTTCATTGTACCAAAATTATATAAGATATTTATTATAGTACACGGATTGTTATTTTAAGACTTGAAATAGTGCATAAAATAAGCAAGTATAATGTTAACTTTTCATTTTCAAGTAAACTCTTTGTAATGCACATTATTCATACGTTTTTGCTGATTTTCCTCAAATAGACTAAAGAATATAACACATTTTTATGGGATATCTCCTAGCCTACTAGCTTGCTGTCAACTAAACTACGTACTTCAACTGTTGGTTCTGTAGTTTCTAAGATGTTGAAGTTTTGTACCTGAAATATTTCCAAATAACAAGGGTAAAAGCAGTGTAACATTGTTTCAGCCGGCTGACTAGCAGCATGATCAGCAACACGTGGGGGAGGGGAAACTGAATTACTCTAGACCAGGGGTCTTCAATGTTTTCAATGCCAAGGACCCCAAAACTGATGGCGAGATGGAGCGGGGACCCCCTAATTATATATATTGTATGAAATTGTATTATATCAAACTGGTCCTATAGTCACTCTATTACAGATGGAGTAATGTAACGAAAGTAATCTCACCCTGGGATTATTAAAGTATTTCTGATTCTGATTCCTGGTTGATGGGACAGGTGTTGTGAATGAAACGGTGCCCAGCTTGAAAGAGCTCCTGTGTGTCGCTGAATGTGTGCATTGATGCCTGAAAGACATCTTCTGCCTCCATTTATCTGTTTACTACAGTGTGTTGAATTAATGTTGATGTGTATTTAAAGACATTTCAATTAGTGGAAAAATTGCTGGAGGAATATATAAAAAAAAAAGTCTAATCAACCAAAACTTTCGTGACCCCCATGCAGTACCTTTGTGTACCCCCTAGGGGTCGCGCACCCCTTGTTGGAAGACATCCGCTTTAGACTGTGAAGAAAGAAAGCCTAAGTCCTCTAAGAATTCAGTAGGGAAAAAAGGAGCTTCAGACCACATTTTGAAAATGGCTGCAGGTTCAAGCATTTATAAAAACACAGCCTCTTAAAATTTTAGAGCAGCTTGATCCCAGGTCCATGCAGGACTATGCCGTTTTCAACTCTGCATCATTCCTCTCATGACTTTTGAAATGGTTAATCTGTGACTCATTTGTTGCCTCCTGGCATTATTACCTCCTGCAGTGCCTACATGCTGTGGAGACTCATGTTATCATCACCTTCCTCCCAACGGTGCTGATGCAGCTGTTTGAGGTGCTCACAACCGCTACCAAAGAAGCCCATGAGATTGCTGTCAACTCTCTCCGGTAAGTTTGTCAGTGATTGTCCGATACCCGTCCAAATTATTAGGTACACCTTGCTAGTTACAGTTTGGGCTCACCTTACATTTAAAACTGCTTTAATTTGTCCCGTCATAGATTCAAGAAGGTGTCAGACACATCACTGGGAAATTCTGGCGCATTAGGCCCTTAACAATCATAGACAGGTTTCAGGTATTACAGGCTAACAATGGAACCAAACGAACCCACT